CTTAAAAACCGAAGGCTTTATGATTTCTTAGAGCAGTCCTTCACAGGTTCCTTAGGTAAAAATTCACTTAGGTTATGGACTGTCAACAGTATTTCTAAATCGGACGGGGGAAAGTGTAGAAACAGGGAGGACTAGGGGAGAGTATGAATATTAGAGTCAAAATATTTCAGAACTGCAGAGAGACTTCTAGAACATCTAGTTCCTACTTCATGGTGAAATAAGAAAAATAAGAATTATACTGAGTCTTTTATGAAGTTTTATTCAATTTAAAGAACAGTCCTGACACTATGCCCTTCACTACCAACTTGGATTTTAAAATGACCTTTCTTTCATGAATATTGTGCTGGTAGATGTTTTCATAGCCTCACTTGGCAAAATTAGAGGCAGACCACTCAGTCTTGCCATCGACCCCCACCTAACCCGCCCCGCCTTTTTAATCTATTTTTCCACCAAATCCCAAAGTTGGGAAATCACTGATAAATACATAACACTAGCTAATATTAAGTGCTTCGTATGAGTTAAGCCCATTCCATCAATTATTTGATCCCTCCCCACCAAATCTGTTCAAACCCAGGCAATATAACCTACAGACCACACACTTACTGTTCCAACTATTTCTTTGAAGCCAAACTCATTAGACAAGTCATTTAACCTCTAAAATAGTTTCCCATATGTATAATGTAGATACTACCTATCTCCACTGGGTTATTGGAGAGATTAAAAAAATACTATTTCTACACACATCTGTAAACTTTCACCAGTTCTCTTCCACTTGACCAAGTTCCATTCTCTCATTAATTATATAAAGTGATTCAACCTATAAAGGATGGTTACTGCTCATTAGCTATCATTTAGATGCACACTCCGGCCTTGTTTCCACAGGTAAATTTGTTAGATGCCTCATTTGTTTCTCCAAGAACTCTGTTGATTTTAAAGTCACACTGATCTAGGTGACACTGTCACACTGTGCATTCCTATAGCTAAGCAAAGAAAAGCTAAGCCTATCTGAGAATGTTCTTCCTCCAGTGATTCTTTTTCTTCAGGAATCCCCCTAGTGTGAGACCCACATGTAACTCAACAGAATCACTGTTTGTCCGAAAATATTCAGGTGTAAAACATCAGGTTCCTACAAGAGAAATATTTCCCCTTGGTCTGCATTTTCAATTCCCCATTCTGTCGCTCCATCCTGAACAGTTACATCCATTTGCCTCCACCTTCGTCTCAAAACCAGGCAGCTAAATTAATAATTCCATTGAATTTGAACTATTAACACATGTAACCTTTAAGTTATTATGGTACATCTTTACTATTTTGTAGACATTAAAACGAATATGTTGAACTTTACTGACATGAAAAATTCTCAAGAGAATTGACTGCGCTCAACCCTGGTTTCTTAGAAGAAACCTCTAGATGACATGGAGACGCAATGATTCGTAGGGTAAATTACTAAAACTTAGGCAGGATTTGAGCTACCATGACGTTAAGACAGAGAGGAAGTGCCAGAGGAAGAATGGAATGGGAAGCAGGGTGGAGATGGGGAGACTGTATCACACAAGCTGAAGTCCTCCTAGGTTATTGGACCTCAAGTCCGATAAAGCTGTACATGAATTCACTGGAGAGGCAAGTGCTCTGAGTAGGTTCCGGCCACGTCTGACTCTTCAGTGGAGAGGATGGTCTGCTGCATAACTGAAAAATAATCTTACTGGTCTGGTAAGATCTGGTGCTCATTTAGGGACTTGTTTCAACATCTATTGAGCACTTATGATGTACCAGCCACCTTTCTAAGCAAAGCAATATTGGTGAAGACAAAAAATATACGAGGTAATTTCAGACTGGTAAGAACTCTGCCCTAAAAATAGGGCAAAATAGCAAGTGACAAGAGGGTCACAGGACTTGAGACCTGAATCACAAGAAAGGGTCAGCCATGCATAAAGAGTGGCTCCAGTTGCAGAAATAGCAAGCCAAGTGAAAAGGCCTTGTGAAATGAAGCCACTGAGGCTAGAGCAGGACAAGCAAGGGAAAAATGAAAAATCATAAAGGCAGCAAGAGTCAGAAAATAGTAAAAACATGGTATAATAGGAAGACACTATGGATTTAAACGGGACAGTCACTCAGCCTCTTCAAGCCCTAAAGCAATTACCTTTCCTACTGTGTAGAAAATGGATGGGATGAGGGCAGGGTGGGGGAGTAGGGGCAAGAGGGGACAGTTAGGAAGGCACTGCAGCCGTCGACGTGAGAAACAGAGGGAGCCTGGTCTAGGGTGTTAACAGTGGACATGAGGCAAGTACAGACTCAGGAGAACCCACAGGACTTACATATAGACTAAAAATAGGGATAGGAGAACAGACTCAAGGACTTTATGTCTTTCAGTTTAGGCAGTGCCCATTATCAGAATGGGTAACAAGTTGGGGAAATAGGTTTGGTTGAGAAATTAAGATTTGTTTTCCACAGGTAAGTCTGAGATGCTTACTAAAGGTTAAGGTAGAACATCAACTATGCCATTAAACTCTGGTGCTCAGGGCAGCAGGCTGGATATATGAATTTGAAAGATTTCAGAAAACACTGAATCCCACAATGAGTTTTCCCTTTGGAGAGCAGAGCTAGAAAGTATAGACCAGACCTGAAGCAGAAAAGGAGGAACTGGCAAATTCAGAAGCAGTCAGAAAGATTTAAGTAAAACCAGGAGTGTGATAGAAGCTGTAGAGAAGTGAAAGAAATAAAGTATTTCAAAAACAAGGAAGTAGACAACTACTGAATGCTGCTGAAGGTTTAGTAAGATGAGAAAAGTGACCACTGGGTTAGAAGCACACAGGACACTTGAGACTTTGACAAATGCAATTTTCGTAAATATATACTTTAACTTTTTGCTAGATTTCTACTATAGGATTCTACCATTAGAAGGTCTGGTAAACAGACTAATGGCCCCCCAAAGATGTCCATATCCTAATCCCTGGAACCTGCGAATGTTGCCTTACATGGCAAAAGGGACTTTACAGACGGTAGTAAGTTAAGGATCTTAACTGAGTTTATCCAGGTGGGTCCAATGTAATCACAAACGTCCTTTTAATAAGTTAAAGAGGGTGGCAGGAGACTCAGAGATTTGAAGATGCTATGTTGCCAGCTTTGAAGACGGAGAAAGAGACCACAAGCCAAGGAATGCCAGTGGCCTCTGGAAGCTGGAAAAAGGAAATAGATTCTCTCCTAGTTTCCAGAAGGAATGCAGCTCTGCCAACACCTTGATTTTAGCTAACGATCATTAATCCGGCAAAAGCCAAAACCTAAAATGACTTGACTGCGTAACCAGAATCTAAAAACCTAAGAACTTGACAATATGGTCAACCAGAGATCTGACCAACATGAACTCGCTAATCACACAAGTATAAGTTATGGTATGACAGAGCTCCATGGCCTGAAATGCTTCAACTCATAAACTTAAAACAACTTTTACAGATTTCAAGCTATATGCCACCCAGTGATGGTGTAAGTATGCATCTGTATTTTCTTTTTTTTTTTACTCTGAGTTAACAGAATCATGTTCTTTTTTTGTTGCGGAGCATGGGGTCTAGAGCACAGGCTCAGTAGTTGTGGCGCACGGGCTTAGTTGCTCCGCGGCATGTGGGATCTTCCCGGACCAGGGCTCAAACCCGTGTCCCCTGCATTGGCAGATGGATTCTTAACCACTGCGCCACCAGGGAAGTCCCTGTATTTTCTTTTGACTTTTATGAAACCTGAATAGAAGAGACTTCCTTCGGTCATAAACTTCATAAATACCAAGCAATTTCAAAATGCCAACCTGGTGCATATAAATCTCAACTGTATTTAAAATAAGTCAGACTAGGATTAGAGTCTGTGGTACACTGACAATACTGCTGCTGCAAAGCAGAGAACCAGGCATGTAGCAAGTTGACAAGAAAACACCCTCACGCTGTGAGACTCTGTGTGAATTACCAGTCGGCTCTCCCCATGACACACCTCTCTTGGCCCTCTAAGGCAGTCACAGCCTACTGTGCTTTCCGCCAGTTTACCAGAAATCCTCAAAAACTTATTTTTTGGTTGGTTATTCCTTTTAAGGAAAGTTATCAAGGGTCATTCACAAGATAGAGAAAAAGCAATTTGGCAGAGATGTTATTTATTTCTCTAAAGTATTTACAAACTACTAGTTCAATATTCCTTCCATATTAAAAAATAAATGTATCACAAATCTAAACTCAGTTGATTCATTTTATTAAAAGGTTGGTTAAAAAAAAAAAAAGGCTTTCTGAATACCACCTGAACTTAAAAGGATAAAGTAAAACAAACATTGCAGGTCTACAATTACCCCATTTTTATAAAATCTTTCCTATCTATCTGCATATACACATTCAGAGGTACACTCATGTGTGTTAATGTTCACTCAATTTTAACAGAATTTTTTGGGGGGTAGTGGGATTTTGAGTGATTTTTCTGATATCTTTCTGCTATTTCTTTTTTTTTTTTTGCGTTACACGGGCCTCTCACTGCTGCAGCCTCTCCCGTTGCGGAGCACAGGCTCGACGCGCAGGCCCAGCGGCCATGGTTCACGGGCCCAGCTGCTCCGCAGCATGTGGGATCTTCCCGGACTGGGGCACGAACCCGCGTCCCCTGCATCGGCAGGCGGACTCTCAACCACTGCGCCACCAGCGAAGCCCTCTGCTATTTCTGAATTGCTTTTTTTTTTTTCTCTTTTAACCAGCAAGTATCATTTAAATAAGTCATTATTCTGAAAGTTTTTTTTAAAAGGCAGGTCAAGTACCCCTTTCCAGTCTAGGAGGAAGAAAGGTATATACAACCCTACCAAAGCACATAAAAATTTCAAAAATCCAGTACAAGTAACTGAATTTCAAAATCAGGAAACAATTTATGTTCACTACAGAATCTTTAACCGGGTTGTCTTTCAATATAGTTATGATGTAGAAAAACTTTCTGGCAATTTCCATTTATAAAAGTCAAACCTATCAATGCTTCCCAAGAAACAAACACAGTTTTGTTTTAGAGGCATTTTATTTAGACAACTAAAAACAATTAGATGTTCAGAAGCAGTGTACAATGAAAGAGAAATCAAACCAGTTACTTTATCATGTATTCCCCCTCTTCTTTATAACTAAAGCAAAAAAAAATGGCTTTCTGCTTTAAGGGAAAAGTCAGAAAAATAGGCCAATATATTTTCCCTCTTCATAATAACATAAACAGCTACAAGAAATCTACCTGTAATAAGAGAAATTGGATGTTGGTTTGCACATATTCATGAAGAAGACAACAGACTATCGTACTACAAGAGTATCACTCCATCCGCCTTCAGCTGATACTCTTGTGTTTTCACTTACAGGTATCACCAAGTTGGTTAGTTCCAGCACTGGAGCTCATTCATATTCCTCATTATTTACTGCTCATGTTTGCCTTAAGCAGAGAGTAACTCTGGAGGCTGATGCTTTTCTCTGTTTGTTTTAGTCCATAAGTTGTGTACATCTGCCTGATGCTCAGGCCTTAACCTCAGGAGTTGAACTATAGATGGAATCTGAATTCTCTGAAGCAATTTCTTCTAGCTCCTCTTCTGCTGTCTCTGGAAAACTGATCTTCGGCTTTGCCAGCTCACCACTATCTTCTTCTATGAAAATAAAAGCAATGATGATTATGTGAATTATAATATCACTAGCAATTTCTAGCATTTAACAAGCAAGAAGAGTACGCCGAGACTATGCCAAGCGATGAGCTACAAAACATAAGAGGAACAGCTTTCTTAATAATTGTGGTTCTAAGAAAGTATGTCTTTTAGATTCATACTTTTAAATCCATACTACAACTACTCTGGGATCATTAACTAAGTATTTTTATTAAAAAACATGTCTACTTTACTAGTAAGAATCACTAAGTAGTATTATTCAGAGATTAAATATATTTACTTATAAGTTCTTTATACTGTCCTCTAGCAAATTTTGAATTAGGAGTATTCCATTCACCAAATGATCTAGGGTAAAAGTTTAGGAACAGAATATATTGTACAACAAAAAAATTTAAACAAAAGAACACAGTGGATGATTTATTAGTCAGGGGCTTCTCCTTGTTGTAACCATATTATATACTTTAAAATCTATAAAGACAGAAATACTGAAAAAATTAACAGTGCAAAATGATACAAAATCATGAATAAAAATTCTTACCAGGAAGCACACATTTCCAAAGGCCGTATGTTTTTCCTACCACAGTCTGCCATAGTCGCAATGTTCCATCTTCAGAACCACTAGCATAGAGTTCTCCATCAGGACTAAACCTCACACAGTGAATAGGACCAAAGTGTCCTTTGTAGGATTCTGAAAAAGAAGAGAAGGGCTTTTAGATAATTTAATACTTAAACATGACATTTGAGTATTGATACACTAGAGAAAATATTGTCTACATTATTGGGAAGATGTGAAATTCATGAGGGCAAAGTCAAAGAACTATACCTAATTAAAAATAAAGTGATTCTCATCACAAACTGGTTCATCATGTCTACCATATCTCTGTAAGATTACTCCTTTGCAATCCTAGCACACACTATGGTTTCAGACTGTCTCTAAAAAAAGAAAATACAAAAAACTGAGGCGTCATGTCCCAATAAAAATAAAGAAAGGGAGTAAATGAAAACCCCTCTAAAATCTACAGAAAGCAGATCTAAAGTCTGTGAATTCAATCCCCATTTCCAAATCCCAAACTCACTGTCTGTTTAACTAGGGAACCAATTCTTATTATGACTATAGAGAGCCACCAGATGGAGCTCTTTTACACACTCTGCCTCTTCATTTCCCAGCCATCTACCTAGAGTGCACTAGTCGTTCTGTCACAAAGAACGTGAAGATACAGGATCAATGCTGATCCTATATGGAGTTTAAAGAGAAAATGTACAGATTAGTAGTGGTGGTGTTCTGGTTAAGGCACATCCTTAGTTATGAACTTTTCTCATTTACTTTCTAATGCCTTATCACCTTATCAGTTTTCAAAGCTGTTTACTAGACAAGTGATCCTGTTCTGTCTCCATGTCTATTCAACTCAAGGACACTCACACACTAGCTTCCCCCAGAGAATATCATGATCATGTTACCATGAGTGTAAAAAATTATCATGAGAATAGAAAGAATATGAGATTTTGGAATAAGAATGTCTGGGTCCAAGGTTCAGTATTCACTAACTGTGACCTCAGATACCAGGCAAATAATTTACTTCTCTTTTTCAGAGCATAAAACATGTGGCCAAAACATTCTAAAACTTTGAAAAGTGACATTAAATAAAAACAATGGAAAAGAATCTCTTATTTCAACGTCACTTATAGGGACTTCCCTGGTGGCGCAGTGGTTAAGAATCCGCCTAGCAATGCAGGGGACAGGGGTTCAATCCCTGGTCCGGGAGATCACACAGGCTGTGGAGCAACTAAGCCTGTGCACCACAACTACTGAGCCTGCACTCTAGAGCCATGAGCCACAACTACTGAGCTCAAGTGCCACAACTACTGAAGCCTGCGTGCCCTAGAGCCCACACGCTGCAACTACTGAGCCCGTGCTCCGCAACAAGAAAAGCCACTGCAATGAGAAGGCCGCATACCACAAAGAAGAGTAGCCCCTGCTCACCGCAACTAGAGAAAGCCCATACACAGCAACGAAGACCCAATGCAGCCAAAAATAAATAAAATTTTAAAAGTCACTTACATTCAAGCAATAAAGGATGAACCATAAACAATTAAAAATAGATTCTATTTAGTCTATTCACCAAGGTTTGATTTACCCAACCCAAATCCATCAGTTTTCCCAAAGAAACAAAACATAAAATTGTCTTTTATTCTTTGTGTATAATTCTAACAAGTTTAAGTTCATTGGGCGGTAAAGCAAGACAGCTAAAAGCAAAGTAGCAGCTAAAAAACTGGCTGAGGTGTTAATCACTGAAACCTAACATTTCATCAAGGTAACTACATTTTAAGAAAAAGAGGACAACTCACCTAATTCTTCTCCACTATTATAATCATACTTATAAAGTTTAAAATCTTCACCCCCTGCAACAAGAAATTCTTTCTCAGGATGAAGAGATGCAGAATTGATGGTTGCAGGAGCTTCAAAAGACTTAATTGGGTCCAAACTAGAAAAAAAATTTAGATAATATTTATAAATTTTTATTAGTTAATAAATAAGGAAACAATTCTACATTTAAACTGTTCCTAAACTCTGAAACTCAAGGAATAATCCAATATTCATTTAGTCAAACACAGTGATGTTAAAAAAAAAAAACCCTCTAGGTGTGCAAAAAAGGGAACTCTCCTACACTGTTGGTGGGAATGTAACTTGGTGCAGTCACTATGGAAAACAGTGTGGAGATTCCTTAAAAAACTAAAAATACAGTTGCCATATGATCCAGCAATCTCACTCCTGGGCATATATCCAGACAAAACTATAATTCAGAAAGCTACATGCACCCCTATGTTCATAGCAGCACTACTCACAATAGCCAAGACATGGAAACAACCTAAATGCCCATCGACAGATGAATGGATAAAGAAGATGTGGTACATATATACAGTGGAATACTACTCAGCCATACAAAAGAATGAAATGATGCTATTTGCAGCTACATGGATGGACCTAGAGATTATCATACTAAGTAAGTGAGAAAGAGAAAGACAAATACCATATGATATCACTTACATATGGAATCTACAATATGACACAAATGAAATTACGAAACAGAAACAGACTCACAGACACAACACAGACTGGTGGCTGTGGGTCGGGGAGGAAGGGATGGAGTGGGAGTCTGGGATTAGCAGATGCAAATTATTATATAGAGAATAGATAGCAACAAGGTCCTACTGTAGAGCACAGGGGACTACATTCAATATTCTGTGATAAACCATCATGGAAAAGAATATAAAGAAAGAATGTATGTATATGTATAACTGAATCACTTTGCTATACAGCAGAAATTAACGCAACCTTGTAAATCAACTACACTTCAATTTAAAAAAAAAGAGTAAAAACACCTTTAAAAACCCCTCTAAATAATATTAGCAAAAAAATAAAAAATTCAGAAGGATACTATGCCCAAGTGAAGTTCATCTGCAAAATACAAAGATACTTCCACAGAGGGATATCCACACTTTGTGCAGTGAATGCCTTCCTGAAAATGACTGGGCTGGCTAATTAAAACAGTATGGCTAATATACTGGGATTTTTGCTTTGAAAAAAATTTAATTCTGCATTGTCTGATTTTTCTAGGACAAGCATGTATTATCTTTGTAAATAGAAAAGTTTTTACAGTAAGTAATTAATATAAAGGATTATTTGTATATTATTTTCAACTGCTGAGAATTTATAAGTTTCTGCAACAGGAAAAACCTTTAATACTGTGAAATACAGAACTGCTAAAAATGGATCAGTTTTTAACTATCAGGCTATAAAACAATAACTAAATCCGAGACTACAGCTACATAACAAAAATCAATGCATAACAGTAGCATCACCTGAATATCAATGAGTTTGGACATCGGCTCTTTTCCAGTCTAACCCTAAAAATCCTGAAAGGTTTCCAACACACAACGTTAGAGTATTTCAGCTCCGAAATGTTGCCATCCTATTCCCACATCACACACTACAAAGCATGAAAATTAAGGCTGACTTACGCAGGATCACTGAATAGCAACTTTCTGACTTAAATGTTAGACTATATTAACAGGCCAGCAAACCTCCACCACCAACATTTCAGGCAACGTTCTACAGCAGGGCTGCACGCTGCCCAAATCCAGAAGCAATGAACGTAGTTGTATCATTTAATGGTTCTGAGCAATAACATCATTATTATCAATAACTTTACTATTATTATCAATTCACTGAGTGTGTATGAACTCTTTTACATTCTTAATTGCTCATGTCCATTATGACTGCCTTCTCTTTCCTTCTGCCATTCAGTGAAGCTTAGCTCTGCAGATGGCCCTTTAGAGGAAAGGTTAGGACTGCTGGTCAGAGTATAATGTGGTATATTCCTTATGGAAATCAAGTAAGTGGCATGTTTACTAAGAACTTTAAACACATTGCCACCCCTTTGTTTTGTTTGTTTCAAACTAGTTTATTTAGGGGTTCCATTTTCACTCCTCAATAGATTTTATGTATCTCTCACATGCTTCTTCACCCATTAGTTCATCTAATTCTGAAGGGTTTACTCAGTGTCGTCTTGATTTTCGCAACAAGATTTATTGACAAGTCCTGGCTTTTCTGCAAGGGCTTCATTAATTTCACTTACTTCTCCTGATAGAGGAGAACAGAGTTCACTAGCAGTTTTCACACTTTCCAAAGCACCAAACTCATCTTGTTTGTTCAACTTTGTTCCAACTTCAGGCAGACAACACTAAACAACATCTCCCAAAGCTTCCTGTGAAAAACTGCTGATCTCCACTGTTCCAACACCATTTTCTGCTGTCATGTTTCTCTGTGAATCTACCCACTGGAGAGCAGATTGCACAGCGTGTGGAAGGCACCCACCCAGGGCCGTGGCAGGCAGGGTGGGTCAGGTGACAAAGCAGCACGCAGGCTGCAGACTGCTCCAGCCATGACATTCCTAACCTTTGAACTGATGATTCTACTTACAGGATTCTCTTGTAAAGAAACATTCAAGAGATGTACCACGAATCTCACTGCAGTGTTAAAACAGGGGAACTGATACATGATTTAGTATAACCTATGATGCAAAACACCTAGTAAAACTGTTTGCAAAGAATTTTAATGGCTAAGAGTATTTTAGAATAAAAAAAATAGGGCTTCCCTGGTGGCGCAGTGGTTAAGAGTCCACCTGCTGATGCAGGGGACACGGGTTCATGCCCTGGTCCAGGAAGATCTCACATGCCACGGAGCGTCTGGGCCCATGAGCCATGGCCGCTGAGCCTGTGCTCCGCAACGGGAGAGGCCACAACAGTGAGAGGCCCGCGTACAGCAAAAAATATAAAAAATAAAAGTTATATTCATTAGGGTACTAGTAACTAAAGAAAAAAACCCATAGTAATACACACACACACACACACACACACACACACGAAGAAAAAAGACTAGCAAAAAATATAGCTATCACGAACCTTCTGGCTGTAGGACTGGAGGTTTTTAAAAATTATATTTTCTAAATTGTCAACATCAGCATTTAATACATTTACAGTCACAAAAATTAAGTCTGTTTTTTAAAAAATCATTAGGTCTATACCATACTTGGAAGCAGAAAAAAAAATCACTAATTTCTCTGAAATTTTAAAGTGAAATAAATAGCAGAATCAAGATCACAGAGGTTTTATAGAGTAATGAACAATATAAACTACAGCACCAGTCTAGTGATCCTTTTAAGAAAAATACTGATTAAAAATTGGTGAATTTTACCAATAAATGTCCTAAATATCTGGAAATTAATTTGATTAATTCCTCTGATTAAAGTATACCAAATTCTTAAAAAACTCATTATTATTGGGTATGGAAACACTTCCTTCCACATACATAATATAGGCCAAAATTTGCCTTTAAAAGAGTTAAATACCTTAGCATATGCCTTCCAATTTTTAAGTACCTTAAACTGCCCCTGTATTACCAGAAAAGAAAATGAAGGTATTTCTTAGACATACCTTACTGCACTATGAAAAGCAATAGATCGTCCATAAGTTATTACCAATATCTCTCCCTCAGGAATATATTCCATACTGCTAACAGACATATTAAAATTTAGAGATTTCACTTCTGTCATAGTAGCATGATCCCAAAGGCTGAAGAAAAAAAAGAGAAAGAGGACAGTAAGGAGGTATTTACTCATTTAAGAAAAACGCTTACAGCTTAAATTACATCTGCAGGTTAACCAATGAAATAACCACAATTGTAAAACAACCTCTACTCCAACTCATAAATTACAGATGATACTGAGAAATTTTGGGATCCTATAAAACATCAAATTATTTGGTAGCTTGTCGATGAAATCAAAACTAATACTTTAAATATACTTCCCAAATGATTCAGGAAAACTGTGCTATTAAGACACTCCTAATCTAATCAATTTCAGCATTGCTCTAAATAATGGTTCTTACACTTGATTTTTGTGAGTCTGATAGTTATCTTTCCACAGAAAAATACATTAGGTGTCAGCTCACAAAACTGTGTACAGAATTTCAGGGGTTTACTGACACCCTGTGGCCAGCCTGCCCACTGACCCGGGTTAAGAGCATCTGCGTATAAAGGTGTCAGTAGTCTTAATTGTCTTGTGAATTCTGCTCTATGTTTATAACAGTAAATGGATAGCTTCAGAAAAATGTGACTCCTGTGCAGCCAAAGTTGTAATGTTCAGACACGAGTCTTCCTACATAGTAGTTATAAAAAACTTTCAAATATAAGCTCTAAGGTCAAATATTTTTCAAACTTTAAATTATTAAAGAAAAATTACTTACCGAACAGTTTTATCATCAGCTGAAAGGATCTGTTTATCCTCACTGCACCACAGAGCCTTTTTAATACCAGAGGTATGACCACTGATTTCCTTAGGGTCTTAAGATAGAACAATTTAAAATACATTTGTTAATATTTGATTTTTAAAACTAAGCAATATTTGAACTATGTAAAAAGAAAAGAAATACTATGTTTTAAATTAGACTGCAACTTTTCAAAGCCCACCACAATTCAAACTTGATGTTTACCTAGGATACATTTAGTTTTCCCATACTGAAACAAAAATTTATCTGTGTGATAAGGAACCCAAGAACTATACATGTAGATGGGACTGAATACACCACTCCCTCCAGCTTACTTTTCTGCTTTTGAAAGCACTGTCGTACTTCAGTGAAATAAAAGAATAACTAAGGTGGCATAATTTAATAAGAATATGGACCCAGGAACAAGACAGCCTGAGCTAATTCTAGTGCTAACACTAATGCTAGGACCCTCTTCCAAGCCACTATTGGCAGAGAAGAGCATCAAAAAGGTGGGAACCGGTCTCTGTTCGAGACTTTCCAAAGACTTAAAAAACAAAAACAAAACCACTTGTTATCTCTGGGCAAAAGGAGAAGTTGGAGGCAATAACATTCAACACAACTTTGACTTTGGGCAAGTCACAACCTTTTGAAGACAACATTTCTTCACTTGGAAACTGGATTAACAATAGTTACTATACCCTAGATTTGAGTATAAGAATCAAATGAGAATATACATTCAAAGTTTCTTTTTTTGCCTTTTAAAAAAAAATACAGAGTTACTAGAGGTATTTCACATTAAATTCCCCCAAGCGACAATATCTCTATTCCCAAAGTTCTGTGTGTGGGAATTTGGAGGCTGGCCAGTGGTGGATATGTCCAAAGAGACAACACTACACCAGTACTATGATCCCAACTTACTCTTTGGCTGCATGATGTTTGAGTGGATAGCAAGAGCTGAATGCAAAACACAGACACTGCTACCAAGACACAGATGAAAACCATGCACACGTTACAGCAGCCATCATCTAAAGTTTCTAATCGGGTTTCTGACAGACAGTAAAAGCTCAGTTAATTGCTCTTCTTTCCAATGCAAGACAGTGGAAGGGCCACTTTCAAAAGGCAGCTTTGAGAAAGGTAAAAGACGACGGAGGTTGTCTACCTGAGCCCTGAACTATCTTGCTGAGTCAGACAGATACACTGATTCAGTGAGGTCAGAGTAGTTTGCTATGTTTTGGCATAAAGTTATTAGACAGAATGAAGAGAAAAATTACCAGGTGCCAAAGGACAATAATTCACAAAGGTAGTTTGTTTCCTCACCTTAGAAGTACTTTTAGAAAAGATATTTCAAGAACAACTGTTTAATTTCCAATGTAGCTTTGACTTTCTTACAAACTTCAAAAATTTATTGACTTATGAATAAACAGTAGTACCCAAGATACAAAATTTAAGACCCTAACTAATATATAATAAATGAAACAAAATTCTTTTTGTCATATTTTGGTAGCTTTTAAAATACATAGTATGTGACTAGAAAAGCACTGAAATACTACAAAATAGAGGTGAATATCTGACTAGGGAAGAAAAGGTATATCTTACAACTTCTCTGCAATGAGAGAATTCATAAAGGAAATGATAGGTTTTACCACCCAATTTTTAAAAATGTGCATACCATAAACCTTACTGACAAAATTTAAAAGCAAATGACTACTGAGAATACAATAAAGAAACTTTAAAATGAGTAATAAAAAGATGTACAGGTGCTTGGTTCACAGAAGAAGTACATTAAAATGGTATTCAACAGTATTTTAATCTCATGAATAATTTTTCAAGTGCACATTAATAAGACAATCATTTCTCTTCTATTAAATTGGCAAAGATAAAGCTAGTTATCAGTGTTTGCTAGAACAGGTTAGCTATAGATACATTTTTATACTTCACTGGAGGGCCCTTTGGTAGTATCTATCAATGGCTTCCAAGCATACCTCTTTTTTGTCCCAACAATTCTATTTCTATGTAGGTATCCTACAGAAACAATTGTGGAAGTATATGCAACTATAAGGGTGTTAAGCACAACACTGCTTATAATCTTTAAAATTTGTAAATAACCAAATAAGCCATAATAGGAGATTGGCTAGTTCACTTACCCACAGAATAGAGAGCCACACAGTCATTAGAAAGAAAGAATAGAATATTTAAAGACATGAAAAAACTATTATTACAGATTTTTAAAATTCTTCTGAATAGCTAATATACCTGTGTGGTTCAAAAGTCTAAGTATGTATACACACTGAGAATTCTTACCCTTCTCACCTTCTACAGATAATAACCACTCCTTCTAACCAAAATGTAGTTAACACTGTTACACACCTTTTTAGACTCAGTATCATAATAAAAATTTACCATGATAATTTTTTAAATTGTAGGAGGGCTATACAAGCACAATGTAGTAAATAAATCAATATTTCAAAAGATATCTGCATTAAAAAAAGAACTGGAAAAACATGAACCAAAAGCTAAAGACGTTATCAGCAATTAATAATACTGGATGATGGACTATATTTTAATTTTTTTCTTTGTGATTATCTTTATTTTCCTAATTTGAGTACTAAATATGAATTCCTTTAATCAGGAAAAGTTACTTAAATTAAAAGAAAACAAAACCACAAATACGTATAAATTACACTTACCTGCTTCAGGTTTGTTCAAGTCATATATGCGTAACAGTTTATCCTGTCCCCCGGTTAACAAGTAATTACTATCCTGAAAACACACATAAGTAAGATCTTACTAGATTAACCATTTTAAAAGCTACATCTCTTTGAAACTTCTTCAACACTAAACAGAATCCAAATAAGGCTCACAGATGTCACAAGGAGATGCATACAGACCAATTACTCCTGAGAAAATACTGCAGAGCATTTATCTTTCTCAAGCCCTGTAAGCTTCCCAGTTCAAATGTCATACCACCTCCACATGGCTTCTCTTAGCGGCCGTGATCCGGCTGCCTACTGAGGAGCACATCTGTGATGATCTCAAATTTATCCTCTCCCTTTTTGAAAGTGGCTGGGAAACATTATTTGGGCTTTTCAGATATTTGTTGCTATTGCTGAAGTATTGATACAGGAGTTCCAGGGTTCTTAAAAGCCTCATAGGATCAACTAAGAAGAAATACTCATTGAGTTGAACAACAAAGGGATCAGGGGACCCATCCTCCACACAGTTGAAATCCACGTATAAGTTATAGTCAGCCCTCTATACATGTGGTTCCTCCCACATGCAGTTCCTCCACATGTGCAGATTCCACAACTGTGGACCATGGGATACTGCAGTATGCAGTATTTATCAGTGAAAAAATCCATGTTAAGTGGACCTAGACAGTTTAAACCTGTGTTATTCAAGAGTCAACTGTAAAGGTGTACAGTTTAATCTACAGTCAAATCAAATATAAGCCAATATACACCAAATATCCCCCCAGAAAACCAAATATACAAACCAATCAAATATAAAACCATTGTCATACCCTATAATAACAGCAATTTAACTTCCTAAAACAAATTACATTTTCTGATACCTGCGTAAAATCCACAGTCTTGACAATGTGTTTATGAGCCAGGGTCATCAATTCATCTCCTGAGACAGCATCCCACACTTTGCTAAAAATAAAAAGTAAAATTAAAAGATAAACATGTGGTAATTTTGATAATTAATTACCAAATAAGTTAGATATTTGAAATGTTATATAACTACATGATAAGGTAAAAACAATATAACAATCTAATTTTGACAATGGAAAATATCAAATTTTAAGTAAACAAGTTTCATGAAGCAATCCATTCTTACTTTCATTTTAGCCTGTAGCCATAATATCCTTTTAGCAAGACTGTAAACATTTTAACCAGTTCAGTTTCACCTTTCCAATATTTTTTCTCTATTCTTTACTCTCGTGTACATGAGAAACAAGAAATGAAAAACAAGAAGTCCTTTAAAAGAATTTTACAGGAGAATGAAAAGCCTTGACAGAAGTTACACGAAATTTTAAAACAAGACAGTAGAGAAGAAAATATTCTCCCCATCTCTTCCTCAAAGTTGACTCTTAAATTCTCAAATCCTAGTCCAATTAACTTCCACACAAAGTAACAGCCTTTGATTATATAATGCTAATGTTGAGAAGATTTTAAATCTCTCAACTGTTATTTTCCCTAACCCAACCCAAAATATGTATGTGATTACACACACATACGTATGTGTGTGTATACGTTGGAGGATAATGATGAAATAATAGTTCATAAAAATACTGTAAGGGGTTCCCCAAATAAAAAAGCTTAAACAGTAAAGAAGAAGAAAAAAAACAATTCCTTTTAGGTCAGAAGAGGTCATTGAAAAATAAACAAGAAAACTTTCCACGCAGGAAAAGAAACTGTTATGAGGAACAAGCTACGCTCCCTAAAGAAAGATTTCCATTTTAATGTAATTGACAGTTATTTTTAGGAAAAAAGTGAACAATGAAATAGTGGAGAAAGAAAAACAGAGAAAAGCAAGGAGTATCTTTTCTTCATTTATTCATTAAACACAATAAATATATCAAGTATGTCACTCTAGACTCAGTACTAGGGCACAAAAGGGAGAAAAAAGATGATCCCAAAGAAAGTTCCTGCCTTAGTAGAGCATTAGCTTTAGCTGAGATGAAAAAAAAAATCCATTAAATAATACATTTAAGAAATATAATTAAATGACAAACACACATGACTATAGAAACACAAAAAACACACCACTAATTACGCCAGAAAGTCCAGAAACTCTAAGCATCAAAACCTGTAGCCTTAAAGAGCACGTAGAAATACGTCAGGGGAAAAAAAAGGGAAAGGCCATTGTAGATAAACATTAATAGCATGTGCAACGGTAAAGAAACATGAACCATCTAACAGGAATAAATGCTGATGATACAATAGAAACCTTGCAAATTATATACTTGAGTCATGAGTAGCTGAGTAAATATGTTCTGAGAGAAACAATGTTAACTATGAGTGGTACTGCTACTAAACTCTCAAATATTAATTTCTCTTTGCACAGGAAACCTGTTCTAATCTCCCCCGTTTTCAATTCAACTCTCTTGGTCCAACCCTACTTCCCCAACCTCATTCTGTATTACTTCTCCTAATCTAGTCACACCAGATTATAGACCACTCCTCAAACAAGCCATGCATTTTCTTCCAGGCTCCTCTGTCTCTGCTCATATTGTTCTATTAAGCATGTGTTTTACATTCTCAGCTATCACAGTTCTACTCACCCTCCGCTGATCACAAATGGTATCTTTTCACTAAACCTTCTATTTATCTCGCCTCCATTAACCATTCCTTTCTGTTTTTTCCACAAAGCTCAGCTTATACTGATTACTGTGTTTAACTTTGCTTTGCTTTTACTTTTGTTTACATATGCTTACTCTTAATCACAGGGAAATCAGTGATAAGAGTTCACAAAGATTAGACTGCTGCAATAACAGAAGGTGTCAAAAGTGAAGAAAACATCAAATGTACCTGAAACCTCTATCCTGTTTATATGATGCCACCTCAAAGGAACTCTGGGCAATGTCTTTAGAAATACTAATTTCAAGTATATTCAATCATCTTCCCCAAACTCCTTAAAATCTTAATATGCTGCTTAGACCATGTCCATTCACTGGTGAGGAGGAAGGCACTGGAGTGACTGGAGGAGTATCATCCAGAAGCCCCAGGCATCTAGTTGTTCTCCTCCTATTTAGAAACACTAGTAAAATGAGTTCGGCACTCTCGACAGAGCATGTTCTAGTCACTTGTACTAGATCTACTTAAGCACCCTCTGGACAGAGCACAGGCATCTTCTTTACTTTTGGCACTCTCCAGATGAAGACAGTAGAGGGACTGAGAAGAGGATCAGGAGATGTAGTGCTAACATTAGCTCTATGAATTAAAAGACATAAAGAGGATGGTGTTTCAGGGACAGTGTACACATCAGCTGACTTGACTGCCCGAATTACCTCAAGTTAACATTCTAAACTGACACACGGCCCGGCTCTGCTGAATATATTTTCTCCACAAGAAATAGGAACAAAATTATCCTTTAGATAAACATGAAATTAATGAATTTTCTGAGAAACCTAAGAATGAGGGAACAAAAACAATCACCCCAAAATAATTTATACCAACTACGATTAATCAGGTAAGCTGGGGAGCTCTTTAGTTGGGTCAAGTTCCATAACAGCAGACCCCATACAAGTCATTAAAAGAGAAGAATATAAACAAAGAATGCACATACTCCCACACCTCACAGACAGACACAGAGCAATTGAAGGGTAAGACTCAGCGTCCATTAACCGAGTACCTACTATGTAACAGACACTATGCTAGACTCCAGCCATGTAAGTGGAGAAAGATCTCTCTGATTTGCACAAAAATCAGACTTACACTCATTTCACAGATGTGAAAACCAAAGTTTAAGAAGCATCCCATGATCAAACTGAAAATACACAGCATGGCTAGCGCATAAACTCAGGCCTGGCTAATGTAAACGCTTACATCTTTCTCACTGTATGATGGCACCTGAGAGCCTTAACTGAGGGGGGAAGAACCCAAAACTATTCCCTCTTGTTATTTAAATCTACTCAAACTTCCTTGCATGAAACCGAAAGGTTTCATGGCTTTAGCACAGAAGTTCCAAAATAACACATGATTTTGGTCTAGTAGGGGTGGTAGCTACCAGTGTTACCCTACACATGTAACACTTACATACATAGTTATTAGATTTTAGGCAATATTCTAAATATTAGAAACATATCAACTTATTCAATATTCACAACCAGAGGTAGGCACTATTACTATTCTCATTTTTATAGATGATGAAACTAAAAAAAAAGAGATTAAATAAAGTTCACAAGGTCACAGAGCTATTAAAGGATGGAGCCTGGGTTCAAACACAGACAATATGGCCCCATTAAAATTAATGCTTTGGGGCTTCCCTGGTGGCGCAGTGGTTGAGAGTCCGCCTGCCGATGCAGGGGACACAGGTTCGTACCCGGTCCGGGAACATCCCACATGCCGCGGAGCGGCTGGGCCCGTGAGCCATGGCCGCTGAGCCTGCGCGTCCGGAGCCTGTGCTCCGCAATGGGAGAGGCCACAACAGTGAGAGGCCCGCGTACCGCAAAACAAAAAACAAAAAACAAAAGCTTGTCTCTTTTAATGCTAATGTATATAGTGTCTAAGATCTTGTTACATTTATTACCTAATTATATTTAACTTAAAATACCACTTTATTAACTATTAACTTACCACCAAACTGGGACTTAGTTTCAATAATGACATTTGTAAAATCCACTTACCAAATATCTGAAATCTAGAGCTTTTAATTCCAATTTTCCATCTCTGTTATAAAATCAATGACATTCATTCCCAATGACAATGCTCCTACTGGACTGAGCAAAAAACAAACTTTGGAGGAGTTAAAGGGAAAAAAAAAAAAAAAAGCTGAACTCATGGCAGACACAAATGTCTTAGAAGCAAAACCAAGATCTATAATTCGTCCATTCTTTATCCTTCTACTTTAGAAAAATTCCTTAAGTTATTTATTTGACAAACATAAAGTACTGAACAAACCAGGGATACAAAAAAATATAAAACATGGCCCCTGGCCTCAAAAAGCAATGACACTGAAATCAATAAGTACTGTAAGAGCCAGAAGTTTAACACAGGGAACAGTGTGAGCAAAAAGAAGGAATGGGCACCTTCACCTTCCAACACTCCTCAAGTCTTCCTCGTCTGAGAATCACTTTTACTTCCTATTTTTCACCTCTCATAATTAACAATCAAAGGAGTCTCTGTCACATTATAAGCACACATGCTGACATCTACAGCAACATTTGACCTGAAGCTGTTGACATTACAGGACTGACATAAAACCAAGCAGTTCCTTATTTTACCAGAACTTCATACAATCACAATAGGGCAGCGTGCAAAGCCTTACAATGGTTATTCATGAACATAATAACATCTATTCATTGAAGGCACAGAAAAAAAGTTCATACTGACATTTACAACTTTTCTTACTGCTCTCTCATCGTCTCAAATTTAATCCCACATAAGCATGGGATTATATCTCCCTCTTCTTATTTTAAAAATTTTATTTTTAAAAACTTACATATAGTAAAACTAACTCCAAGATATAGAGGTCTACGAGTTTCATCAAATATATAGTCATGTATCCACCACTCAATCAATCTGCCTTCATTTTTCATAATAAACTTAGTATGTTTAATTTGCTTAATACAAAGGAGCAACAAACACATTTACAATTGCTCCCTAGTGTGAAATTCTGTTAAAAAAAAAAAAAATCAACAAGACCACTTTTACTCTCCAGAGCCTCAAATCTTTTAATAGAGTATTACATGTGCAACAGCCCTTGACATTGCCTTCCTTAGTTTAAGCATTTAAGTGCCTGCTAAATCACAAACACAATTAGGAACTAGAGGTACCAAAGTTATATATGACACATGTTCAGATGGGGAAAGTGGGTCACCGCAAATCACTTTAATAACATATGCAAAGGCCAAAAATCAGAATAGTAAGGTGTATTCTGGCAACAATATTAGTATAACTAGACTGTGGGGCATACGGTGTGCAGTGCCAGATGATGATAATGATGAACTAGGATGAGACCAAATTTTCAAGAGCCAACAAGTGAAATTTAACCTTTAGGCCAGTGGTTAAAGGCTGCACATCAGAATCACCTAGACCTTCAAGGAAAAGAACTGATGTTCGGGACAGCACCCCCAGACCAACTAAATCAGAATTTCTAGATACATGCATCTGAGTATTTTAAAAGCTTCTAATGTACACCCAACATCATGGACCACCGACAAAGCACAGGGAAGACAAGAGATCATGAGATGGAGAACTGACATGACGATATTTGTATCTGTGTTCACGAATACAACTGGCAGCACCAGGGAGGATGAACAGATGGGAAAGGACAAGTATTAGGGACCTAAACTAATATGGCAGTGGCCGAGGCATAACAAACAATGTGGTCAGGAAACATTCTGCTGGTAGAATCAACAAAGAAGATGATAATCTAGATGGAAGGGAAAAATCAAGAATGATTTAGATTTCAGTCTTAAAAAACTTAAAATATGAAGAATAATTGAGTTGGGGAGTTTTAAATATGTCTAACAAAAATGAGACTGAAATTGGGGTCATTAAGCACTAGGAAGTCATAGGAGTTAATGATACCACTCAGCCAGCACATGTGGGGCAGTATTTGGAAGCATGACCATCAACATTCATTATCTGAAGTGTCTGTTAATAATGCAGATTCCTGGGTCCCAATCCAGACATGCAGAATTTAGTCATTTAAGTCTCTGAACATTGTGAGAACTATTTAAGAGAAAGAAGCAGGCAGGATCAGGGTGGAATTTTGGTGAGATCAAACACTATGTGTTTTATATGGCAGGCAGTGAGAATTCTATGAATACTTTGATTGAAGTTTTGATCATTTCAGAACACAATCCACAGACAACTCCAAAGGTGGCCATTTTCGGCGGCACTTACGCTGTGAAATCTGCAGCTGCTGTAGCTGCTTTGGTGGCGTCCTTATTTAGTGTTGCACCCCAAACAGCACCCTTATGACCCAAAAATGTTCCAATCCAGTCTCCTGTATCTCCCTGGCGTAGCATAGGTTTACCATCTAAAAGATATTTAAGAAGACATGTGATTTACAAGTTTAGATTATTTAAAATTTAAGATTCAAACATAAAATGATCATATTGAAAAACAAAGTGGAAAACTGCTTTTGTTGTCTAACTATTCTCACTCACAGGGATCACTAAGGAACGTCCAGAAATAAATTAACTGAAGAACCGAGCTGGACACTCTCTTTGGGAAGCATTTGTAATTCGGTGAGAAGACTACTGATCGGCCTCAAAACAATCTAGATTTGCGTCTTATTTTGGACGAACTTCTTAACAGTAAGTCTCAGCTTCCATTTGAAAAATGAAAAATGGAAATGAAAAATTCCATACAACAAACAGTATCCTATGAGATAACAGGAGTAGCAAGTCTTTGTAAACTAAGGTGTAAAACAAGGCCTGGCCTCGTTTCTGCATTCCCCGAATCCTTGAAAGATTATTTACGGTGTCTGCTGGCCGGGGCGTCTAAGCAAGTGCACAGTTAAGCTTCTCCAGAAATAGCAATAAAGCTAAAATGAGAGACCTTGGTTAGGGGCATTACTTAGCAAAGCCCCTCGGCGTCAGCTGAGGAAACCGTAACACTACTCCTCTCCCCATCAGCCCACCGTGGACCCTAACCTCAAAGGCTGCGAGAGCCGCAGTCCGCTCGGCAAAGGGGAGTGCCGGCCCCCACTCCCTTTCCGCCCAGTCCCAGCCGTCAGGGGCCCGATCAGCGGCCCTGCTCACCTTTGCAAGCGCTTATCAGGAAATAGCCGTAAGGCGTGATGCCACTGAAGGCCAGATCCACCACGGGCCGCGTGTGGCCCGAGCAGGTGAGCGGCGTCTGCCTCATCGCCATGGTGGCTGCGAGCCGTGCGATCCGGCGGGGGAGCGAGGGTCGTCTCGTCTTTTCTCTCCTCCGTGGCACCGCCTCCGCCTCCTCAAGGCCCCCGCCCTGACTCTGGGGTTGGGCCGGGAAACGGGAAAAGGCCAATCCGGTGGCCCCGAGGTCAGAAAGGGGTTAGGGACGGGTCAGGGAGTCTGCGACGGACGACCGACCGCCGTCGAGGGAGGGAAAGGGAGGGAGGGAGGAGAGTAGGGGAGGGGAGAACCGCAGAATCCGCGGCCACGACCCACACCGTCTACACCGGTACAGGCAGGAAGTGACGACACCAAACACGCAGAGCGTACGCCGGAAGTGACGATCCGGCGGGAAGGCGGGTTCGCCAGGTAGAAGAGGCTTAGTGGAGCCAGAAGGACGGCAGCGCGCAGGCGCGAGATCAGCGTTTGTTGAACACGTGACGCTGGACCTCCGCCCGCTACGCACGGCGTCTGGCAGCGCTCTAGGCTCTGGATAAAAGTCCCGGTGAGCAACTTTGAGCGGTCGGTCGCGGCCTTGCTGTTCTCGGGCGCAGTTCGGGGCGGGGGGGGCGAAAGCGGGTCCTTCTCCGCTCAGACCCTGAACCTGGCGGCCCATGTGGATTACGCACCGAGCAGTCCAACCAGTTGGACTCTGCTTAGTATCAGAACATTTAAGCTGAACAACCAGAGTTGTTCCCAGCGGCGCCCCAAACCTGCAAACACTAAGAACTTTTTTTTCAATCTTTATTAACAATTATATAGGCAGCTCCTCCGGGATTGTCTACAAGGCCTTTAAGAAAAGTACTTTCCCCAGCCACCCCTAATGCTGTGTAACATTCCTCCATTGCTAGTGTTTTAGAAGTGTTAAGTAACTTTCAAGACAGTTAAATTCAAATTACTTTTTGTTTTGAGGACTTCGGAGGACTCTAGAGCAGTGGTCCTCAAATTTTTGGATGAAATACCCATATCAATAAAACTTGAGTCCGCACTCCAAGTCTATGGATAACAATTTGTAAATTACGTTCATGTTAGTGCATAGACAAAAATAGAAATACTAGAAGAATCTAAAAACTAAATATAAATAGAAACGCTGGTATTATCTTCCTGCAGTCTGCCCAGTTTGGATATCGCTGCGTTGTGTGGCATCCAGAACAGTTGATGGAGTGCTCATACAAAAGCTGTACTGAGCAGGAAAGGTCCTTTCTCTGGGCAAGTTGTTTCTTTCCTTTGATGTTGGTTAGAAAGTCAATCGAAAACATCAGAGATTTTTGTGGCCTATTCACTGCTTTATCCCCCAGACCATAATGTCTTGGCATATAACACATATTCAATCCGCACAAAAGTCTCTCAGTGTTTCCTTCTGCATCATCTTTTGGTGATAAACATGTATCTTCATTGAAGATTCAAGTCTAATTACTTGAAGGAACACTTGAAGTACTTCCCCATTTTATTTCCTTAGCATTTTGTTCATTCATCTATAGTAGAGCACTTACTGTATATGTTTTCCATTATCTTTTGTTCTCTCTGTGCCAACCTCACCCTGTGGTCCAGCCCACACACACACACTCCATTCACATTTAAATTATGAGCTCCTTAATGGGAAAGGTTATGTCTTTGTCATCTTTGTACTCTTATTACCAGAAGAGTGAATGACATTTAGTGAATGCTCAACAAATGATTATTAAATAAATAGATGCATTACTGATGGAGGTAAATAAAGACACAAGTTAGAGCTAGTCAGTAAAATATTAATATATGTCCATTTGTTGCTTGTTGTGTGTAGGTAAGTTTTACAACTGAAAACTTCTTTGTCTCTAAAGAATGTATAGTTCCTACTCATTTGGATTCTGAGTTTTAAGAGTATTATTATCATGATCAATCGTGTGGGGTTCAAAGTCAGTTTAACATTAAAAGATTACTTCAATTAATATGATTAACCACATTAAAAGACTAAAAAAGAAAAATGATATCAATATGTATTTCATTGTATTGTATAAAAAATTTTAGACAGAATTTAATATGCATTCATTCATGATAAAAACTTAGATACCAGAACTAGAAGGGCCCTCCTTAACTTGATAGAATATTTAAAGAAGCAGCACACATAATGATGAAACACTTAATCACTCTCTATTAGGTCAGGTACAAAATAAGAATGATTACCACTATCGCTCCAATACAGCATTGAACTAGATGCTTAGGTAACCCAATAAGGCATAAACGTTGCAAAGAAAATTACAAATCTGTGATTATTTAAAGATTACTTATGGAGATTACATATAAAGAAAAAAAATATATATATATATATATTTTTTTTTCCGTACACGGGCCTGTCACTGTTGTGGCCTCTCCCATTGCGGAGCACAGGCTCCGGATGCACAGGCTCAGCGGCCATGGCTCACGGGCCTAGCCGCTCCGCGGCATGTGGGATCTTCTCGGACCAGGGCACGAACCCATGTCCCCTGCATCGGCAGGTGGACTCTGAACCACTGCGCCACCAGGGAAGCCCTACGTGGCATATTTTTAAATTACATTTTATGTTGTTGCTATGAGCTTTTTTTTTTAAATTTATATTCCACATTTAAGAGAAATCATACAGTGTCTTTCTCCATCTGACTTATTTCATCTAGCGTAATACCCTCAAGGTCCACTTATGTTATCACAAATGGCAGGATTTCATTCTTTTTTATGGCTGAACAATTTTCCATTATATATATATATATATATATATATTTGGCACATTTTCTTTATCCATGCATCCATCAATGGACACTTAGGTTGTTTCCATATGTTGGTTACTTGTAAATAATGCTAAAATAAACATGGGAGGACAGATATCTCTTTGAAATACTGATTTTATTTCCTTTGGATATATACTCAGAAGTGGGACTGCTGGATGATATGGTAGTTCTGTTTTTAATTTTTTGAGGAACCTCCGTATTGTTTTCCATAGTAACTGCACCAATTTACATTTCCGACAACAGTGCATGTGGGTTCCCCTTTCTCCACACCTACACCAACACTTGTTATCTCTTCTTTTTGATAGTAGCCATTCTAACAGGTATAAAGTGATATCTCCTTGTGGTTTTGATTTGCATTTCCTTGATGATTCGTGATGTTGAGTACCTTTTCATGTACCTGTGGGACATTGTATGTCTTTGTTGGAAAAATGTCTATTCAGTTCCTCTGCACATTTTAAAATTAGATTGTTTGAGTTTTTGCTATTGAGGTGTATGGGTTCTTCATATATTTTGGTATTAACTCCTTATCAGATATATGGTTTGCAAATATTTTCTCCCGTTCATTTTGTTATCTTTTACTGTGCAGAAGCTTTTTAGTTTATGATTTTAGAATGAAATCCACTGCTTGTAGGGTATGAAATCTCAAATTATATTCCAAGTGAAGAGAAGGGAGACAGTTAATATGGATAATTTTGATATTGCTCCTACCTTAGTGTTTTGGACAAAAGATCAGCTGTGGTGGGTTTTTTTTTTAATAACATCTTTATTGGAGTATAATTGCTTTACAATGTTGTGTTTCTGTTGTACAATAAAGTGAATCAGCTGTATGTATACATATATCCCCATACCCCCTCCCTCTCGCGTCTTCCTCCCACCCTCCCTATCCCACCCCCTGTGGTGGTTTTGTGGATGGAGACAGAGATAGAAAGTGATGGAGATAGAGATAGAGTTAGAGACAGTTTGATGGGATAAAAAAGATCCCCTTCCTCCACCATCACTTACACTTTTCTGAGAGGAAATATTACATTGTCAGAAAGAATCCATTTGAGGCTGGTATTTTCCCTAAGTGATTCATACAGAGCAATTCCTAACTAAAGCGATGGTTCTAGTAACATGGACATGCTCAGGAAAAAGCCAGAAGGTCCATATCTAGGAATTCAAAGGTTATTTTTTCCCAAAAAAGTAGAGTCAAAGTCACATCAATATGAAGATTATACCTTCCTCATATAATGCTAGCTTGTGTTGTCTTGGGAAGAAAACTCATGGAAGTGAGTTGCCTTTGTTCTTTTTTTTTTTTTTTTTTTTGCCACACCATGTGGCATGTGGAATTTCCCTGACCAGGGATCGAACCTGTGCCCCCTGCAGTGGAAGCCTGGAGTCTTAACCACTGGACCACCAGGGAAGTCCCCTTTGTTCTTTTATAAATCAAGTGGAAAATGGTAAGAGTGCCCCACTGATGAAGAGACCAATCTGGAATCAGAGCACTCACCATCTTTGCCCCACAAAACCAGAGCCCTCAGGGCCACTGGCAAACTCCTCTGTCCCTCTGGGAAACCTCAGGCCCAGGAAAACCCCATCACCTTGTGAACAAAGCCTGTGTGTTTAACCACACACAAGAACGTGGCTCCTTTCTCAAGTGGCAAGAAGTTGAATTTCCCTGAGAAAATGGGTGGAGACCCTTGATGGTGGAGGCTTGAGCAAGGTCTGCAGGAAGAGGGTTAGAGTTTGGGGAGATAGAGTTCAGAAACAAAGGACAACAATCTGAAGCCCTGAGGCTTTCCCTCTTCCTCTCTCCCTTGTGTGGTACAAGAGAAAGAATTAGGTAAAGCCACAACTTCTAGGTTTTTATACTTTCTACTGATTGGAAATGCTTATTTAACTCTTCTATAAAAAGAGCTGCTGAAACGGCCATTGTAGCTCAGTGTTTATTTAGTCTAGAATATAGAGTGGTGGCCCTTAGAATGAGGGTCAGGCCAAAGTAGGGCTGAGGGTGCACTTTTTTACCCAACGTGGCCCTCTAGGGTCAAGTCAGGAGATAGATACTACACAAGTTATTTGAGTAGAAAGAGCTTAATATTAGGAATAGTCATATAGATATAAAGGTGATAACAACTAAATGAGTAAAAAGAGAACTCTAAGGAGTCGTGTAAATAGCAACTTCTGGAAGCATGTACCATCCCTAGGCCTGAAGGAGCAAAGGGAACAAAGAGAAAAACTTAGAAATTTAGAGAGGGGTCCCTGGGGTGCTGAAACCCAGACCTCTGAGGAGGAGACACCGGATTGTTGGCCGCTGGTGTCTGTGCGGGGGTGGGGTAGGGATGAGGCTGGTTCTACAAGTGCTGAAAAAATTGCAAATTGGAGTCAGTGGTGGCTACAGATAAGGCATGATGTCTACAGGGGTGAAAAATGTGTGGCCTAAGCGATTTTCAGTAGAACCCCTGTCAGACAGGGAGCCACCAAAAAGGCAAACCGGCAAGAGCAAATCCCTCTTCTTTCCCAGTGTTGCAGTTTTCCTCTCATGCCCCTGCTGGAAGAACCTAGTGGAGGAAAGATGTGATTTGTAATCTGGGTCCCAAGGTCACCAAAGGAGAGAATTAA